TGTAGCAACAGCGCTGCGCATGCGCAGTCGCATTTATGTGTGCGCAGCAAAAAATATCAATTCTCAGGTTTTGCCTTCACGCTCTTGGTGCCACCCATTGATTAGGTAAGCGGGAACGCACATAAAATGTTCTCGAGCAGTTGTAGGCATTGTGCGCACTTTCCCTTGTGGCATTTTTATATATTGATAAAAAAATTAATTTCGCTCGCACTCAGGATGCGCACACGCAGTATTTCCTTGTGGCAACAAATCGATTTGTCTGCAATCATTGTTAATCGTTTATTGCGCAACAAGCAACAGGAAGAGTGAGCAAAGGAAATCGTAACAAAGAGCAGCAGGAAATAGAAATGAAAGAATCACCGCCAGATAATAACACGGCTCCCATATAGAGACGGTGCGGTAGGTGGGATGTAAAAGAGAAAAATAAAAACACCGTTTAACTGCGATGAATGAAAATATATCAGTAATCTGGTCTAATACGTGTTTCCAAGAAAAACACATTTTTTTGTTGGTGGAAATTGTCTTTTTGGAAAACCGGTTCGGCACTTTAATCTGCTTGGGAACGTCGAAAAATAAAAGCAATTAGGCAGTTAAAATATTAGTTAAGTGTAGCAACAGCCTAAAGTCAATTAAATAGTTGATGCGCGATATGCGAACGAGTCTTCACATTTAACTGCGCCATTTTTCCTTCTTTAGGGGTTTCAGGGCTTGGCCTGCATAATAGATGTGTCCATCTATCACAGGCATTGATGCATTTGTTATCTCATTCTCATACAATTTATATTACCAGCCTAAAGCTATGGAGAAAGTTTAGATCTAATAGTCGGCCCGTATGATCCCATACGAAGATAGCAACGCGATCACTTTCAGCCATGCTATTACTTTGACTTTCATACTGTTACTAAAGCTATGATTGTAGTATAAAATCTTACTAGCGCGGTAGAGTTGTTCATACTGCAATATGAAGCTACAAAAATTATCATATTTCGAGCTAAGTAGTGGTGCTCTAATTTGTCAGCAATTTCAGCAATGTGGTCAAACTTTAAAATTCTTAACAACGTCTTTAGCCAAAGTAAGCTACTTGGAGCTCAATTATATTTTTGGTTTGCCATGATATCAATACTGCTTGCATACCGTATTTCAATGCCAGCAAATAATTTTGTAATCAGCGTTGATGAGAGAATATATTCTCTGGGTACGGTGAACCGTATTATTTCGAGCTGTAGCCTTTGGCCTATTCAAAAGCCGGTATTTGATTTGTGCGCTTTAGCGGATATCTACAGTAAGCATCGGAATTCTTTGATGTATAAGTACGTATATCTTCTCTTGCTAATCGCATCATTTTGACGGTGGTCAAAAACAGCTGCAACTTTCCAAGAACTGTCACCAGGACACTGTTTTTATTTAGACTGCAGTTTCGAATATTTTGTAATGACCTCACGATTAACTAAACTCTTTTATTCATAATCTAAGAATATACAAGTGATTTGTAGTCAAGTACGATAAACTTTCGCAGCGGTAACTGCATATCAAGTAGCAGAGCATTGCGCTTTGAAATTGGACCTTATGCTCATATTTGAGATACGTATAAACCATGTCTCTAATCAATGAAAAAGTTGACCACAATGCTGAGAATCGCTTGTGTATCCACTGTATATTCATATCTAACCCAATGACTTTGCCTGAGCTCCGATCTCAAGACATGCTCACAAAAAAAAAATTTGGCGACTACGTAGACCTATTTGGAGAATAAACTTAACAAAAATGAAATGATATAAGAGCATAACTCTAGATACAAAAATTGTTCTAAGCCTTTTAGAATACCCAAATGGATATATGCACAATGTGAAGATTGTCATTCACACAAAATTGTTTTATATAAATTACAATATAATAGCTATATCTATAAATATATATACATATATATATATATGTACATATATCAGTCCAATATTCAAAACATCAATCAAAGCACAATTTATTAATTAATTTGAACATTTAAATCAGCAAGTCAACAATAAATTCGAAAATCAAGCATAATTCATTTATTAGTCAGAATACTCTATTTATATATAAATTATTGTCGACAGCACACCAACAACAAATGCAACAAAACACAGTAAATATTATTTATTAACACTTTATTCAATTTAGCGCATCAACGCGCCGGCGGGGTTCAAATGGGTGTAAACTGCGGAAAACCGCCGTCACAACAACAACAGCATACGAGCAGCATTTATGCAAAGAAAACAACAACAAACGCGAAAAATACACATACACAGAGGCAAGCCAAAACGATTATAAACCTTTGAGCTGTCAAAAGAGTTTAAAAACATCATTTTTCATGTAATTAATTACAACTACAAATTACCATAGCAGCGGAAAAAGGTGAGCCACCGAAAGTTGAAGCGCGTTGTTGCTGATGTTTGCGTTGAGGTTGCAATTGCAATTGAAGCGATGCGCTGCTGATGTTGATGCATCGAGACAACTATGCGTGTAGTTGATTGCTGGTGTTGTTGTCGGTAATAAAGCATATTATGAGCTTTTTCCGATTAAAATACACAAATGTCAAAATATTTACATACTTGTATGTACGTGTGTGTATGTGTGAGCCGCTGAACAGCAGCAAAAAGTCGTCCACAACAAATTACAGTAAAAATGAAGAAAAATGAAGCACAAATGAGAATTGTAAAAACGCAGTTAGCACACACTTACGATTTTCCACAAGAGTGAGCACACACCGTCGCTTGTATGTGTGAATGTATGTATGAGCTTACCACATAGAACAATAAAAAATGCATTTTTCGATTTGGCGCTGAGGACTGGTCACTGCAGTAATGCCTTAACATATATGTGTAATTATATATGCATGCGCTTATGAATTCGTGTGTGTGTGTTCTTCGATACCTTTGCATTTACATACTTACATACATACACACATACATACACACATACATACATTTGACATATATAAAAGCAAGCTCAGACAGAACAAGTTCAACGCGCAGCATAAAACTTAGTTGATTTCTACCAAAAACCAAAAAACTACAAAATGCCAAGAACAAACAACAAGCACGCCAAAAGAATGAAGCTGAAGCATAAATGCCAAGCGTAAGCGCCAAACTCTTGAGAAGCCGCAGCAACAACAAAAAACTGGTTTCAGAAACAGCATTACAACTACGACAACAAAAACAACAAAGCAAATATATGTCGAACTTGTGTTTGATGGCGAAGTTTAGGGCCAACTTTAAAGTACATAATAGGTTTCACACGCGCACACACACATACATCGAAGCACCAGCACGCCACATGAGATGAATGGAGAGCAAAAGAACCTGCAGAAGTGGTTCGAAAGCGAAATATCAACAAAAAGCAGGAAGTCATGTGGCGCATTGAAGACAAGCACTTCAGCGGCTTGCAGAGCTGCTGAAAAAGCAACAACGACAACAACAATAACCGCATGAAGTTGCAGCTGAAGCCCATGCAGCGGAAGAAGACGCTTAAGCAGTAAGGCAAACACATAAGCAGGGCTTCAGCAGATCAGATCGATAACATATCTTAATAAATGTAAATATATACAGATATAACGTTATATAAATAAAAGAAATGATATAAGTATATATGTACATACATATATTAGCATATACATATGTACATAACAGTTTTATCGCAAAAAGAAAGATCACACTGAGATAATACACCTGAAGAACAGATTTAAAAGTAGTAACAACCGTTTCTGGTACTGGCGATCTTACTTCAGTATTAACTATTGGCTAGATAAAAATCCTGCTCTGTTCCAAATACTTCGACTCGACACTCGTTGCAACGTTCACAAAACACCAATCTAGTTTAAGACATAGATATTAGAACTGAAGCCCGATTAATGGAGTGAAAGTGCATGCTTCCATTTTTCGCAAGGTGCTGCTACTTAGAAATATCTGGTTCAATTTACTAATCATCTATTTTAAATTTCTCCTTTGTAGGAGGTCTTTTCTTGATTCTACAACCTCGAACTGGGACTGTATTGAATTCTCTACAAGCTAAAGAGTCGGCATCCAGTTAGATGTTATACTAGTTAATACAATCTCAGAATTCTAGCAACTCACTAGGCCCACTTCTGCTGTTGTCTATACCCAAAACCACAAATATACTTCAAAGAACCGTTCCTTCGAGTACACCAAAAGTAGTCTAACAGAAAGATTTTCGTCAGCCATTTAAAGCTCACAGCGTTAAATGAAGAACTTCATAGAAATACCAAACCCACTCAAAATAAGTTTTTTTGAACGATTCCGAGCCCTTATTTTGCATTCTGATGCTTTCTAGTTAGCACGAACCACTTATATAAACTAAAACTCCACACACGCTTCTCTAAATTTCTCACGGTGTATAGTCTTTAAACAAGGTATTTGTGCAACTATGCGCGTGGTGGCCAGTTATGCTTGTTGTGCTATGTACGAGTATTTATAAGCAAAACAGGCATCAACGTTCGATTCAATTGTTAAAGGGTTCAGGCCGGTTTCGAGAAGCAGAGGTGCTTCAAAACCAAAACATCAAATAAACAATGTTGTCGCACATACACAATAACAGGTTAGATAGCGCGCGTTAGACAGCGAAGGATGCACTGTTAATGAGAGAGAGAGAGAGAGAGAGAGAGAACAGAAACCTAAGCAGTTGCACCTGAGCAGCAAAAACTGTCCAACTGTGGCATTTTTGAAAACAAACGAGATAACGAAGTTGTCCTCTGCTGCTGACCACTAACCTAGCCTGAATGAAGATCCATAGCGTTGAGCATGCGCAGCAGCTACTAGCGTAATGCAAAGAATTCCCAACGTACCAAGCGAACGAAGTGATGTTGTTTGGAGAGCGCGCAATTTTCCAGTCATGAAAATGCTGGAAGAGCCGTAGCTCAGATGCGCGCTCAGCAAACTTGTTTGGACCAGAATTTCCAATATTCTCATGACTCTGTATTACATGATGCTGTCGTCTGCTGGTTTGCTCTGAGCTGCGGCGCTAATGCGCCGTTGCTGTCGCTGTCATTACGCTGGCTCTCAACTTAGCTCTGTTGCCCGACTGCAAGTGCGCTGCTGAGCAACCGAGCAGACTGCACGCGAGTCGGTAGGTCGCTGTTTGGTTGTGCGCTCGTTTGTCTCGCTTAGCTTTCGACTTTCCAGCGCTGGTTGCTGTGCGAATGCCTGACGCTCCGCCATTTAGTACTCAGTTGTTGTGCCCGTCAAGCGAACGTGTTCGGTTAGTCAAAGCGTGTGCGCTACACTGTAATAGATACATAGGCCGTCGGAAAATTCTATGTTTGCCACAGTCAGCAACAACACCACCACCACTAGCATCACAGCTATTCACCAACAGCGCCACAACCACTAAAATCATTAACCCGATATATGCGCGTGTATGTGTGTGTGTGTGTATGTTTTCAGTAAAAGCAAATTGAAGTGAAGTAGCCAGCTTTAAGGCATCAAATTTGCTAGAATCGCACGAATAAGTGGTGAAAATCATCAAAAACCAGTTCGCATAGACGTGAGTTTCGTGTGTGAAAGGTGAAGGTAATGAAATAAATAAGTAAAAGCAATTATAAATGTCAACAATCGGAACTAACGCCGTGACTTGTGCACTTGGTGGCGCTTAAGGGTGGGAAAATGTTGTGTATCGCTGGAGCGTGAAAAACTTACCGACACGAAAAGTTCTCATAAATCATTATCGAGCGTTTACTGCAGTTAAAAAATATGTAATCCTTGATATTTCTGAAAAAAACGCAAGGCACTTTCAGGCGCCTAGGTGCTGGCGTGCTTTAATTATGCACATGTGCCGCCTTAATATTTTACACTAAAAAATGCATACATTTTTGCGCGTGTATGTGTGCGCTTGTGTGTAGTTGCTAAGTTATTGGAAAAGCAGCAACAACTCGCACACAAACGCCAATAAGTGGGGGAAAATCGGCAAAGAAAAATTCTACACAGCAAAGTCTGCAAATACCTTTGGCACGCAATAGCGCTCACCGCGACTCCGGTTTTGCACGCCAAACCAGCGGGAGAGGAGTTGGCGCGCTACAGCGAGTGAGCGAAAAACAAAAAACACAATAACAATATAACGAAAAAAGCAACAACAACTAACTGAAACTGGCGAAAAACTGCAAACTGCCACAATGCGCCTTCTATAGCGAGATATATATGCAGCTAGTTAGGTAGACGCGCACACTGCTATACAGAAACATATATATTCGTAGTTATGTCTGTAAGGCGCGATGCTGACCACACCCGCGCGCGTGCACAGGTTTGAAAATTTCGGAAAATTTTCCAGTTTGGCAGGCGTTTATGGCAAGCTGGCTGCAGACGGGCAGCCGTCAATTTCTGCTGCTGGAAAATGCAAAGGCAGAAAGGAATGGCAACAAGAACAAGCATTAACAGTGGCAAAAGCAGCAGCATTTGTGGCTGCAAAAGCATATTACAGGCTTTGGCCAAGAAAACATGTTGAGTTGGTTAACTTGAGTAGTTGAAACAACAGAGCATCACACAACATGTCAGCCGTTGTATGTTTGTGTTTGCCTGTGTATTATGTGTATTTGGTAATGCAAGCCTACAATCACACAACTTTTCCTTAGCTTGTACTTCGTATCCGCATGTAAGAGCCACTTTAAGTGTCAACTTGCACGAACGCGCGTCCTGTGCGCCCTTCCGATCGACTACTCTATCACAGCAATCAGCAATGAGCAGTGCCTGTGCCGACTCTCCACCGCCTTGTGCTGCTCCGCAACTGCCATGCACACCATCGATTTGCAGCGCGTTCTGCGGCAACTCTGCACTCAGCTGGGTGTTGTTTCTGTGCAGAATCTGTAAACAAAAACCCGAAATTCACACACATGTGCGAGTACAAACAACTTTGACAGCTCTTTTGTCAAGCATACTCGCTCCACATGCCATTGACAGCTTTGATAACTCACGTCTTTTGCAGGCTTTTCATACTCGCTCACTTTTTCTTGCTCTCCCTATTCTTTGCACTCACTGTTCTGATAGCGTCCACTTGCTTCGTTGTCTATAAATTTTCATTGACGGTTATCCCTAAACGAGTCCACTCTTTTTTCTACGGGGCACCGTTAACTTTGTCTGAACATCATCAGCTGTTTCCGAACAGTAAAAATGAGTTCCATGCAACACTGACTTGATAGCCAACTAACTTCTCTACTATATCATCTATTTTAAAACTGAAACCATCTTTATTGCTGCATTTCATTATGATTTTCTCAGATAAACTTGGAGTACATTAAAACTTCGAAATGCCTGCTCAATATAACGCTCTCTTAAGCAGTTTTTCATGTTAGTCTTCTAGTGAAAAGTTTTTGTTCTGGAAGGTTCACTAGTTTTAAGAGAATAATTAGACAAAATTGACACTTATATTTAAACTTCCCCAAAACTGAGTTTCACTAAAAGTCAACGTAAGAAAATACGAACAAAAAAGAAAAGACTCGAACTAAGATTAGATCATAAGATAAATGGAACGACTAGGCTGGAGTAGTGAGTTTTAATAAAAAGATATGAGCTGGTGAGATATGAAGAATCTACCACATTTCAGTTTTAAACCAGTTAGTGCACATAGACTGCAGCTCCAGATAACTTAGGAAACTCACTGAAACTTCTGAAAACTTAATCAAAATCCCGAAGAGAACGTCGGAAACGAAATGCAAACGACGGTCGTTTTTGGATGTTATTAGACAGCTGCAAAGCTTCCAATGGCTAAACGCCACTGAAAGAGCTGCCGAACTGTCGCTCCGCCAACTGACGTTTACTGCTGCTACGCTCCCATTATTTTGAGCACATTTCGAGCACTGTCCTGCTATGGCGCCCGCCTGTGCAACGAAATGTTGTGGATTGTGACCAAACGCGCTGGAGCACACAAAACAGACGGAGACGAACACAGACGCCGCCAACAGAGACATCAGAGTAGGACAGACACGGGCGCGCGCGCTTGAAATTAACTAAATAATTTAACAGGGATATTATAAATTCTAGAATAATTTAGAAAATGTGAAACGATTTTGCTGAGATAATAAGTGTGAAATAAATACGCTTAAGCATCGAATTTCTGCATTTGTTGTTGTTATTGGTTTGTGAAATTACACATGAGCTCTATCGGTAAAGCCCCAGTGAATATTAGTACATTTTTAGGTTTTTTTCAAAACTAGTCCTTGCCGTGCTGGTATCGCGCTCAAGCACGTGTGTAGTGTGTTGTGACCTAATCTGGTGGGGTGTAAAATGCAAAGGTGCTCACCTCTAAACAGCAGCGGTGTCGCCAAGCGCTTGCCAGACTAGTTGGCTGGTGAAGCGTTAAAAATGAAAATGTAAAATTAAAAACAGTTAGACAACAAGGCGACAGAGCCGCAATGCTAACAGTTCAACAGTCACATGTGACATTGCCGTCGAGTGAGTGAGTCACGTGCCAAATTGTGTTCGGAACCGAAAATTGCGAGAATTGTTAATAAAATGCCAAAAGGGCGTGGATGAGAGGTCAACTGTGTGCAAATAAAAATAATAATGAAAACATGAAAAGCGGAATTTAATGTGAAAACAAGTGAGAAAATAAAATTTCGTGAAATTAGTTGTGTGTGTTGAGTTATGCAAACTAAGTTGTGTAGTAAAGATTGGCTCCGCAAAAGTAGAAATAGGCAAAGGAAAGAGTTTTTGAAATTTGTTGAACGTGATTTGATGGCTTTGGAGAACCATTGTTGTACAACTGCCAATAATATAAAGAAATATTTTCAATTTAACTGATATTTTATAATGTTCAATAAAAATATTACAACAGCTGATGTGCTTTTGTGCGCAGAAATTTCTTTTTCATGCAAGCGCAGAGATATTTTTTGAAATATAATTGAAAAGCCGCTTAACGTGACACTAATCCCTTTGCTATGAAAAACGCGGCGCTCATCGAAAACAATAAAAAAAAAAATACATAAAATTTGGGAAACAAAATATTACAAAGATATTTGAAATGAAAAGAGAGTTATAATTAGAGAAACACACAAGAACTTTTTAAACAAAACAATTTTAAAATTACACAAAGTATACGCTTTGTGTGTTTGGAATGTGATATTTTTGAAAATTAGTTGATCACTTTTAGAAAAACATATTTTTTGAAAAAAAAAATTATCACCAATTCTGCCCAAAAATGTTTTTCTATGTTTTAGTCAAATGTTTAACTAAAATTTCTAAAAAATTTTTCAAAACTGAAATTTTGAAATAAGTTTAATTAAAATTTCTAAAATATTTTTCAAAACTGAAATTTTGAAATACGTTTAATTAAGATTCCTAAAATATTTTCTAAAACTGAAATTTTGAAATACAAGTAGGTTTAATTAAAATTTCTAAAATATTTTCCAAAACTGATTTTTGAAATAGGATAAGCACTTTTGTGTTTAAGATTTGTTTTTGCCTCAATTTGGATCAGTTTCCATTGCATTTAAAATGATTTCTGAGCAACTCGAAAGAGAAAATCAAAATTAGACGCTTGAATAAAACTAACATATTAAAATCAAACGTCATATCGATAATATAAAAAAATGGTTAAAGATATTTAATATTTTTCTTTTATGTCCTTATGTATTAATGGACTAAGAATCATTGGAGCATATTTTCTGTCCATATAAAAACAACTAAAGGGTTGTTAAGAAATAAGCGGGTCCAGATTTAGTTTTGCAGTTTGAAAAAAAGAGGAATTTTCTAAAACACACCTCCAAAGTTTTTCAAGATTGTTATAACAAACAAGGTAAAGCATATATTTTAGAGCTCCGATGAAACTAGTGTCGTTAGGTATCTGCAGGAAAAATGTGTATGAGTTGAGCGTTCTTTTGACACTCGTTTAAAAAAACATCTTATCAGGAAAATATAATATTTTTTTATCGTGTGTATTTATCACATTTATGATATATATTATATTCCTCTGCTTCCTCTGGATGTCCTGTCAGTATTTTTAATGGCGTTACACAACAATTATTTCAGTACAAAAATTTGTATACTTTTCATTGCAATAATAAACGCAAATACAGTTTAGCGCCAAAGTGAATTTGTGCTTTTAACATGTTTCGTATTTCTACTCATTTTAGCCGAAAGTTTCAAGTATCACAAAAACAATACAGGCTGTACAAACGTGCGCGCTAAAACATACGAAAAAAGTCACAACTCAGAACAGCAACGAAAAACTGTATATAAGTGAATTGTAAACGGCAAAAACATCAAATCAAATCAAATCAAAAATTCAAAGAGAAATCACTTATTCTATTAAAATCAGCAGGTTTCGTTGCCTGTCAACGCGCCCACAAAAGAAGTACGTAGCAACAACCCCAAAATCAAACCAGCGGCTGGGGTGCGCCAGGTATTAAGGGATTATACTCACAACGTGTAATTCATACTTTAATGTAGTGAAAAGTAAAAAAAAAAAATACAACAAACACTACCACACGCCCATTAGTCAGCGTCGCAGTGTGCAACAAAAGCGAGCGCGTTGTGTAAAGTAGAGTTTTGAAAGTATCAATTTCAAACGAATTTTTTTTGAAAGAAATAAAAATTCAATAAGCATATATATTTGTGGAAAATATCCAAATTTATTTTGCATTCGCTGCGGCAACCATATCATCGCTTTTTCCGTCAGCTTCGTCACACAGTAACTCCGTCATTCATTGGTACGTCAAGTTGGATAATGAATGCGCAAAAAAGGTAAGTTCACAGCAGAGCTGCATATTTTATTTCTTATTAAATTATTAATTTGTAAGAAGGCATAAAATGAATTCTGAAACTAATTTGGTAAAGGTTTCCAAAATTCTTGACTTGGAAATTTGTTGCGGGCCATATTACCTACAGTTTTTGCAAAAGAACGTTGAGCACGGTTTTCAGAATAGAAGCTTAATCAGCAAATATATGTAAGATTTGCTTATTATGCAGTTTTTCACTAAAAACACTCTGGCATTAGCTCCGAAGAGCGAGCGATAAGCCGATTGAGGTTAAGAAATAGAGTTGCGCTGGAGAAATACTAAAGCACAAGCGAGGCTTATAACAAGTGTTTAGATAATTTCGTTAATCGTGGATTTATTTGTGTTGTTTCAAAAGAAGCTAAAATAACCTTAAAAACATGACACTGTTGCCTTTCTTCTAAACATTCGAGATAAAATTTAATTAGAAAAGCGTATCACAAAGCTATACTGTGAAAGACTATTAAAAAAGAGGAGGAGGCTCCAACATACATAAATACATAAAATTATCTTCAAACTAAGTTGAACTTCTTCTAAAAACCAATTACAAGTTAATTGTGAAACCTACGTCAAACCAAACACAACCGCTCCAAGGCCCTACGGCAGAAACATAAGAAAACTCAAGAAAGTACTAATTTCAACCACAAGACACAATCATTCATTCACTCAGTCATTCATTTGTTTTAATAATGGCCCTAAGTGTAGTGCATAAGTATGTATTTATATGTATGTATGTGTGTCTCTTATGCCAAAACAATGTGCGAACAGACCAAGCAAATGCAGAATACAACAACTTTTATAGTGTGCAATTGGCTTGAGAAAATTGTGTGTTTGCTGAAGATTAACGGCACCACTAAAACAACAACAACGAACGGCAAGTCAGTACAAACAGCAAAAGCCCACAAAAACACGCCAAAACAAATGACAATAACTACTTAAAAATCCATAAATCTTCAGCAAATGTATATGTATGTACAAATACATAACAAATGTATATATATATATATATATATAGAAATGTGTATGTACCAGTATCAGTAATCCTTTTTCGAAAAGTGTAGCAAATGAAACTAAAACTAAAATCCGAAAAACGCTATCATTTATCATTATTAACAATTTCGTCGGACGTTGAGACAATGAGCTTGCGATTGTGTGTAAGCAAATACTGATGTGTATGTATGTATGAATGTACGTATGTATGTACAATATGTACATATAATATATAAGATGGCATGTAGTATGTATATATATAAACGAAGCATTTTTATTGCAACAAAACTAGTAATCACGCTTCAAAATAAGTCATATGAAAGTATATGCTCGTTAATATAAATCTGGCGGCTCAGGAATTTCGTAGTTCCAAGAAAAGCAGTCGGTAATTTACTAAATAAAACAAAGCTAAAGAGGATTTTTTAAAACGATTAAAAAATTAACTTAACTCATTACATTTCTTGCAGCAAAAATTAAACATTGCAATTCTAGGTTTTCGTTTAGAGTATCTTGCATCGATATTTTGAAATTTATGCTTTTGAAGACTTGCAAAGTTTGACAGTAAATTGTTGTGTGAATTGTTTTTATTTTATTTTAATGTTTGTGATAGCGATAGAATTTTGAACAAGGAAAGATATTACTCTCCGCTCGCAAATTTTCAGGAGTTTCAGCAAGCACACTTAAAGCTACTTAGTACTGAAGCTATCGTCTTCTTATACATACTTCTTCATTGCTGCTATAACTGTATAAGCGAGTCATCTGTCAATTCGTAACACAAAATAAACCAAGTATTCGTACAACTAGTCCTTAAAGGCTTAAAGAACTTTCGAAAAATATAGTCTTCAATCGCTCCTGGAACCCATTTGTCGTATAAACAGTTTTGCATATCTGCTTTCTGTGTTAGAAAATAGACATTTAATATTGATTGCCGAAATCGAACTCTACTTCTGGATAGTGATTCTTCATTGGAATTAAAAAACGTAAATTGTGTTCAGTATCCATATTAGTTGCAGTTTAGGTTAATATGCCTATAACTTTAATTTTTTATCTTTTGACGTGGACTTGGACTCAGCAAGATATATATAGTTCACTACGTTCTTAATTGCAACAAATAGTTCGTACTTTTAAATATTGTTCCTAGTTCTTTTTACACTGATGTTGCTGTTCTGGTTGCAGCATTAAATTGAAATATTTTTTATAAATTCCACATCTCTTCCTGCATAAGGTTTTTTTAAAAACACGGTTTCAATTGCTTTAATTGATTTGTCAGCTTTTTCTACCTCAAATAAACAATTGCTCGAATAGGTGCGAGATGATACACAAGTTCCATTTATACTATACTTTTTGATTATTTTCGGTGACTTGTGGACTTCTAATAACAGACAGGCTTTTTTCTTTATTTCGCAAAATCAACAACAAATTTGTGTTAAGTTTTATGAGCAAAGAAATCCTTTTGTATTATATTTTGTTCCATGCAGTGTAATTGTCTTAATGTGGATGCTTTTGAAACCTCCCAGTGCTGACTTCATTTTTTGCTACTTGCTCATAGATAATTACAGATAAATATACGTTTCAAAACCTCTTCGTCTATGATTAATTTTACATAAGAAAAAACTTTCGACCAAGTTTTACTCGACCGCACTTATTTATACAATTATTTTTACCACATTCACTCTTTACTGCAATGAATTGGGCGATTGCGAACTCACTATTTATTTATAAGCACGCAAATTCCAACAAATTACATAAGTACAGCTATGCGTAAAGCACTAGATCCGCTTATTTTTAGAAACGCTTACATAAAAACTCCACATACACACACACACATACCATACATGCATTTTTGTATGTGAAAAGTGTTTAATGTTTGTTTTTTTGGACGCCACTTGCCCACTGTCGATTTTCACACCACATTTCGTCCGCTTTAAGTTTCCAAACGAAAGTTGGTTGGCTGTAGTTTTCAACAATTATGTCATTACTCTGTGGTTTCTGCCATTGTTTTGGCTTTTCTCGAATATTTCGTAATTCGTTTTTCATAAACTTTTTCTCTGCACTCGATATTGCATATACACACAAACATACAGAGCGGTCAGTGGCGACGAGTAGCCATAATTTGATGTGTTTTGCAATTGCTGCAATTGTTGTTGCTTGAGATTGCAAATTTTTGTTGTTACAAGATGAAATTTTCGTGCGACTTTGAATGTAAATTTATGAAATTGAGCTTTTATATTTTTGTTGTTGCAATTTGTTTGAGGTTGTTATACATTTTCTTCAAATCGCTTACCCGAAACAAGGGTTAATTGGCCGACAGTGGTTGTGGCTGGCTAGAAACAATGTCAAATTAGTCATTATTAGTCAAAAGTTTTGACAAAAAGTTGAAAATATTTTCATTTTATTTACAAACAGTTCTTTTGTGCAGTTAAAAATTATTCAATATTTAATTCTGCTCATGAAGTTTGGCGAAAACAAGTTTGTGGATATTGAAAATAGAATTACTTTTTTAAATGGATAGAAAGGGCACTGGCATGTATAAGAAGTGAATAGAACAGTGAGATGCAATATTTTGATCGTGGCAGAGAAATGTGCCTAAATTCAAAAGAAATTATTATATCATTATGTGCAAAATGCATATATGTATCTCAATTATTTACAAGATCAAAGTTTAAATAATGTTATTTATGCTATATACTACATATACCATCTATGGTTAAAGTTTGGCTTTTTACTGCAGCTAATCACTTGTGTACCAGCATACAATAAACGGAATGAGTATAGAGCCCTATTTATCAAAGTGCGAAGTAAGCGGCTGAAAATCGATAAGAAAGTGCGTTTCTACCATATCAGTTTTTAAGGATATGTAAAGTGTAATAACTTATGAAAATTATTATTTAATTGAAATAGCACATTTTTTGAATACTCTAACAACGGTGATGGGCGACAAATTTTACTGTCTCTCTCATATAATACAATTCCCATTTTATATAATTATATATAATTCTACGCATTACGCTGAATTTGAAAAGTGATATTTTTTTCTTTTTGAGAGTAAAACAATATTTATAGCATAATGCGTATCCAGTTGTTATTGCACTTACATAAAATATTTCTTCAATATTTTTTTTTCGAACTTAGCCAAATTTACAGTCTTTGGCCATATATAATCAGGGCCCGATAAAGTTTACGGTATCTTCTAATAGTGCGCGATCGCAAAAAGTAATTTTAAAACTCTGTTATAATAAAAAAATGCTCGCTGATAAAAAAATTCATTTGTTTAGGACGAAATTCTTCTCATATGAAAGCGAAAAGTATTCGTAATGTAAACAATATCGTCGTTTATGACATGTTTTGATACAGTTTGTCATAAAGTCTAGTAGGGATAATTTTAGTCTATCACAATTCTATTAACAGTTTTTGGGTATCTTTAAACTAGCGAAATTAAACCCTCAGTAGTAAAATAGAACAAAGGGTATTCAAATAAACTTGATGGAGGACCGTCTTCAATGCGCTATTTCTCTATTCGTGTATAAATCCATCACACTTGCTATACGTGAAAGTTATTTACAGGTGATAGCAACTATAAAGTTATATAGTGGTTATATAGTGGTTATAGTTTAAAAAATATGTATAGGTACTTTATTTAAGTGTTACGAGATTTTTTGTTATTTTATCACAAAGCGTTTATGCCAGCCTTTGTGATTTATGCCAATTATGTGTTCGATTCAGATTGTCAGAATGTTTAAAAATTGAGTAGTGTCTCTTAAAATTCAATTATTGTAAACATTAATGTATTTTTCTATCAATTTTTGAGATATCAATCTGAAAATTTTTACACGTTCTTATCTCTCCAAGAAGCTGCTCATTTGTCGAAACCGATGTTATTGGACCACTGTAGCATGTAGCTGGCATACATACTGAACGATACAAACCATATCCTTGTATGAAAAGTTTTTTATTCGGCCAAATTTGGCATATAATATA